ATACACATAAGAACTATTCTGGTCTCTTCAAATCATATTGTGGAAATCCACTAACAGGCAGGTTAAACAGGATTTTTATTTATTTATTTGTTTGTTTGTTTATTTATTTAATTTTATTTATTTATTATTTATTTGGCTTTTTGAAAGAGGTTGATTTCATTTGGTATTTGCAGCAGTTCTGGATGAAAAATATGAAAAACAACTTGTAACTGTTTTATTTGAACAAAGACCTTTACCTTAGATGCTGTATAACTACAGTGCTTTCCAGTGATCTGAAACATAAACACCCAACTTATGCACAGTCTGTTCAGATAGCATTCTTATGTTGTTGTAAAGCTGATTCTGACTTACGACAACCCTATAAATTAATAATCTCAAAGCGGTCTTATTGTCAACAATCCTTTTCAGTTCTTCCAAACTCAAGACTACAGCTTTTAAATATGTTTCTTCAATCCACCTCATGTTAGGTCGTTGTCTTCACCAACCATTACTGTCTTTTCCAGTGAGCCTTGCTTTTCATGATACATCAGTCTCATGGCACAGTGGTTAAACTGCTGTTCTGCAGCCAAAACTGTGCTCACAACCTGGAGTTCAAAACCAGGTAGCTGGCTCAAGGTTCGCTCAGCATTCTAGCCTTCTGAGGTTGGTAAAATGAGTACCCAGCTCACTTTGCAGAGGAGCGGGCAAAGTGTAGCTGGCATAGTTAACGTGTAAATTGCCTAGAGAGTGGTATGGGGTGGTTTATAAGCAGCACACACTGCTTTTTTTAAAAAAAAAAATCTGAAGTACAGTCGCCTGAGTTTAATCATCTTAGTTTATCATAGGAATTCAAACTTGACTTCAACTAGAAGCCACTTGTTCATCTTTCTGGCAGTCCACAATTTCCCCCCAGTTCTCCATGTATTGATTTCTGCTCCCCACTTCACAACTGTTGGCCTCACAAAATTCAGCCAGTCATTTCCCACTTCATTTCTGATTCCTAAGATCTTGGGTTCTATTTTATTTCGTAGCTTTGCATTCCCAGCACACACTATTACAGGCACATCTTGTTTCGATGTGTGATCAACTTACTCTTGAACACTTGCATAGACACTTTCAACTCCTCCTTGTTCAGCATCAATAGATCACAGACTTGAAAACTGAAGTGGCCAGGAACAGTACCCTTTCAATCAGGTAAATTACAAGACATTTTGTCCTGGAAACAATAAACCTAGACAGAATGGTGTGGTCCTAATACAGAGCTGAGACACAGCACATGCTAATAGGGACTATAATGTAAAGTCTGACCAAACTGGGTTATAAAATTTCTTGATTAATAGAGAATATAGTTTTTATCCCACACCAGATTATTGTGCTTACCACTTTATTATTAAAAACAAATTTCTTATACATTGGACTTCAGGTATTCTACTGCTACCTGAGCATCATTTGTGACACCTACAATGTCTTCTAATAAAATGTAATAAAGCACAGCTGCTACTATATTGGGCTGACAGCTGGTATTTTTTTAAAAAATCCAGCTTTTTGAGTAAGAAAATATATGACTAAGCATCTGTGGAAACTTGGGTTCTACAAAATAACAACTAAACAAAACCTGGTGGTAAAGAATAAATTCAGCTGCCTATGAGACTGATATAACAAAGACACATTTTCTGTTCTGACTTTTCTTTTCAATTCCCTTTTTGCCAACCTATTATTTCTGGAAGGACCCAGTACTATTATATTAGACATTTTAATGTGACCACAAACATAACTACTTTTTAAATAAAAAAGATCAAATGAACAAGTCATACTGTCATGAGAAGGCTATTAACCTACTTTATCCACAGTTATTTCATAAGAGAGGGAAAACCTGCATCACACATTACAGCTGAAGCAAACTTTTGTATCACTTAAATCAACAGCAGGAAAGTTCCTAAGAAAAGAACTATTCAGCATATGCCCAGTATTTTTGCATAACCTCTTAGGTACACTTTTGCAAAAAGTTAGCTGTTCTGATTCCGAGAAACGACAGCTTTTAGCAAACCACATGCTAGGGTTTCAGGCTTCTTTGGATCTGATGGCCTAATTCTAAAAGCACTAATATGGAACTACACTGTCTGTAAAAATTTCTCTCTCCACATTTCGAGTGAAACACAATATTTGTTCCCCACAAGTTATCAGCAGAGAAAGGTATGTGTGGTACCTATAAAGCTACTAATGACCTATTAAGAAATGGTGCTGTGAAAAAAAACAGTAAAATTTGGTCAAATAGATATTAGAAGAATTCATTCAGGTTAGCTCAGGGTTGTAATTTTATTTGAAAACTGCTTTTCCATTTGCAAATACTGTAATCACTACGATCAAGGTCTCTCAAGATAACGCAAGGATTAGAAGTTAAATTCTGTAAAGACAGCAGCCTTCAGAAATAGCACCCACCCCTCTCCCCAAAAATGATAAATACGTATCATTTTAATTACAAGTTCAACAATATTTCAAGGAGCAGAGAATTCAACCAAAAAACATATTTAGATAAAATAGTTCTAATTCGAACACTATCACAGGAGTAACATCCTCCTTTAACTTTGTCTCTCTTGAATAGTGCCTTTGTGACTGAAAATCTGATAGCAAACTTTCTAAAGAAAAAAATCCTCCCAAGTTTCTTTCAATTTATATTGTATTAATTTGCATACATAATTAAAGGGTGAAATCCTCTTCGTACAACTTATATCATGCAAATATGATGATATCACAAACCTGTTTAATGAACATAATTTAATTCAAATTAGTTTAAAGCTCTGTATCACCACGCACCACATCAGGTTCCAAGGCTCTCTGGGGTTCATATTGAGAAAGCTTTTGGGAGACTCAGAACACAAGACCGACCTCTAATATCTGAAAGGCGCTACCGTATATTTCTTCAGAAGAGTTCAGAACTAGAGATGCGGGTATTTGTATGCGAATATCCCCGCACAGGTGGTGTTAACGAAGGTCCCGCCCCATGGGGCCGGAGAGTCCATTCACTGATCCAACGCAGACAGTGCAATTCTACCAATGGCTCCGCAGTGCGCGATCGGCTAGCCACTCCTGGCAGGAGACGGAAGAACAAGCCTCGCTGCAAGGTGGAAGAGTGGCAAGCAGATTGCACGCTGTGGAGCTATTAGGAGAATCGAACCATCTGCGTCTGTGGCGGATTGGAGAGTGGACCGTCCGACCCCAGGGAGCTGGACCCTCATTAACGCCACCTGTGCAAGGATATTCATATTTGTATACGGATATGAATACCCCCATCTCTATTCAGAACATAAAATTTCTCAGGGTGGAATGTGCTAAGTCTTCAACCTCCCTTGCTAATGTTAGCATAAAATGAATGAGAGTCTAATTAGAATCTAATATTCACAGGAATATAACAAAGTCGGAGAGCCAGACCTTCTTCGTTATTGCATGGTGTAAAGCTGAGAATTTAATTGAAGTAATTCAATGTGCATATTTTAAATCCATAATTTCTCAATCTACACTTGAACACTATCCATACAATTCTGTTTTTTTCTGAAAACTCTTTGTTAAGGAGTTACTATAGACCTTTTACTAATTACAGCAACTATGTACACACATATGTAATTTGAAACACATAATGATGTGATGAGCAGGCAGGGTTCAAAAAAACAAAAAGCAGATATGCAGGACAAGAAAAATAAATAAATGAAAAGAGGCATATGGTCCTCAACACCGCCTCATTGTCACTCCAGTTCTCTAAAAAATGCTTCAGTGCTGAAATCCTATTGCTTAGCACAGTAGTCGTGCTACAGTCAGCCCTCTGAATTATTGGGGATTTGGTGAGTCTGTTCTAGTACAACTGACTGCTAAGCAATAATATTTCAGCCTATATTTCTCTTTCATACCTTGTATTGTCAACTTATCAGAAAAAAATATTAATACTGATGTCACTTCCCATAACAGTTCTTAATACTTCTGTCCCTTAAAGATTAGTTTTATGGCTATCATTCCTTATACCTATAGCAAAACTAAAAACAAAATATTGTTTTCATACTACTTCTATGTTCATTTGCATGCAAAACTTTTGGAGCTGAAACCAGGTCCATTAAAAGGTCAGTAGCCTCTTTAGAGTTTGTTGTCGTTGTTATGTGCCATCAAGTCACTTCTGAGTAACAGAGACCTTTTAGGGTTTTGGGTAAGTGAGATATTCAATGAATGCTTTACTACTGGCACCCTCGGTGAGCTTCCTCAGCCAAGGAAACATCTGAACAAGTCTGCTACATCCTAGTCTGACATGCTATCTATTACACCACATTGGCTGTTACAGAGTTTTCTAAAACCAATCAACCAATGTGCAGAATCAACATGCCCCCCCCGCCTGGGCCAGTTACTGGGGGATGTGTGTGGGAAGGTGTTATTGTTTGTACACAATGGAAAAACAACGTTTGGACACAAAAACAAGGAAAGATCTTATGGCACCTCAAGAACTACCAAATTTATTTGTGGCATAAATCTTTATGGACTAGGAATCTATTCATCCAGTAGACTGTGCTGAATGAAATCTTAGGCCATAACACCTTTAAAAGGTGCCACACAATTCTGCTGGTCTTGCTGCAACAGACTAACACAACTACCACTTTGGAAGGATTTAAGAGGCTATTTTCTAGAATCTTTACTCAGATTGCATGTACATAGCTAAGATTTGAAATAAAATTTCATTCTTACAGATGAGCATTAAAAGAAGAGAGTGGAACAACAGGTGTTCCTGTTACACAAGAATTTAGGTTTTCTCCATTAATTACTAATAACCAACATATAATTCAGTACACAGTCTTGAAGTGAAAGGTGTGCACATTTTTAAATATATCCGCATGAAGCAATATCAGAGAGTTGTGAAACAAAATAGAGTGTAATGAAAGGGAGGGTGGCAAGGCAGACAGAGAAAGTGCACTAAGAGGAGACTGAAGTTAGCTTACAGCATCTAGGAAGGCATTAGAGATTTTGCTGACAAATTCCATACTTACTAATAAACTTGTTTTGCATAGTTTCCAGCAGAGCTTGATGAGCATCTTCGTTTTGCAAAGCACATGAGCATTCTCTGGCCAGCAAAGTACGTACAAGGTGCTCTCCACAACCTATATACAACAAATTGGGAAGTAGGGTTAACATGAAAGTGTCCAGTGAAAAATCAGTATCTTAACAGAATACTGGCTTTTTCTTTCCTTTACAAATTCCAGAAAGGTTACAGTGAGACAGACATAAGAACAAGGCAGCAAAAGACTGCAGAAGGAAAAAAAAATGGTCATTTAACAGGAAGATACATTATACAGTAGAGTGAAGGCTGTTATTTCAAGTACAACCTATTTAGTCTTACTTTCAGTAATATGTTTGCATATGTTTAATACTTAATATTTTTCCCATTCACACTTAGCTGAACTTTGATTTCTTTATTAGTAATGCTATTGTTACAACCTATTTAAATAGCTCAAAGCGAAAATCCAGTGTTATCCATCTGCCTGAAACCAATGAAAATTTTCCTCCATGTGAACCGAAGTGCTGGTGGACAATTTAGGGCAGATCTTGGGGATATCAAAGGAAGGAGAGTAGAAGATCTGTTCCACAAATGGAAGACTATTTGCACAGTATTGGCTTTCTCCCTCAGTGATGATATAACAGAACATTAGTTTAAGGATACCTCATCATCATTTACAGTAGGATCCCTATACCCCTGGGATTGGCATCTATGGTTTCACTTATCTGCAATTTAAAAGTATTAGAAGAAGAAAACAACTGGAAATACATATTTTCACAATATATTTACCAGAACTGGCCACTAGACAGAGACAGAGACCAAGTTGCATGTTCTTCTTTAAAATACCTAACATGTCTCTTGCTCCTTCTAGTGCCCAGTTCTGATAATAAATGTGAAAATACTTTCTTTCTGATTTTTTTCTTTTACCATGCTATTTACAGCGGTTTTCAGCATCTGTGGGGAGGCTTGGAACCAATCCCCCACAGATACGGGGGTCCTAATGAATTTGTTTTGCTTCTTAAGTTTCACAGATATATCAGTTCTCACTAGATTTAAGGCAACATTTTTACCACTAGGCGCTCACAACAAAATGGATAAGTAACATGGAAGACCACCCTATCTAATTATATGTTTTCTCACAATTTTATAAATTCTGTTTTATGTGACAGCTTAAACAACTAATGAGGGCAGGGAGCCCAAAGGCAGCATGAGAAAAGGAAACAGCTAATCAAGTGCCTTGACTTACAATCTGACTTACGAACAGCTTCGGCTGCAAAATTTTGCTTTGACTTGCGGCCGGAGTTTTGATCTACGAACAAAAAAAAGGCAAGGAAAAGGGGCGGGAAATTCAAAAAAAATTAACCATTGGTGGTGAAGAAGCTGCTTCTTTGTAGCTCTTTTACCCCAATGGTTAGGAAAGGGGAGGCTCAGACTCCCAGGCTTCCGTCGCCGCTGCCATCGCCACCTTTGGAGGCCCCCCAGGGTTTCCCCGTCACCATGGGAGACCTCCTGGGGGTCCCCCGCCACCGCCGATCACCGCCTTCAGGCTTTCCCAGAGTCCGGGAGGCTTCTTGGCAGCAGAGGTAAGGTGCTGCTTTTCGCCTTTTAAAAACTTTTTTAAAATCTTTTGCAGGGTGGAACTGGGCTCATGGGGTTATGTTTCTGTTTATTTTGGGATTTGTTTTGTTTTTGGCAGCCCCAGGGGCTTACAGTGTCTTATTTTTTATCTTTGGGAGTATTTTTTTCTTCGGCCAGAACAGATTAATCGGTTTTCAATACATTCCTATGGGAAATGGTGCTCTGACTTACGAACATTTTGACTTACGAACACCGTTCCAATACAGATTAAATTTGTAAGTCAAGACAGCACTGTATTTTTTTTAAAAAAAATTAGCATGCTACCTTTATATTATGTTCTAATTTCCCGGGATTCACAAATTTTTTCAATGAGCTTTGGGGGAGCCAATATAACCTATGCAGTTGGATACCTCCATTAAGTGCTATACGAGTCTTCAAGGAGCTGAAGCGTCAATGTTAATTATTAGAACCTCAGAACAATGGTCAGACACTCTAAACTTTTAAATAAGACTGCCTTCCTGATTATTAATATGTGGTGAATATGATGGCAGCTAGCCAATATTTATTCTTGGAAACCGTTCTCTTTTTAAAGCAAAGGTGGGAAACTGTGTCCCATGGGTTCCATGCAACCCCTCCACGTACATTTTTGAAGACCCGGATGCTCTCCTGAAAGGAACAGGCAGAATATAATAGTTTGTTTAATGAGAATACTTACATCCCACCCTACACCATGAAATCTCAATAAAAATATAAAATAGTTTATATTCCTAAACCCAAAAGACTCTGGTGAACCGTCATGTTTTAACCTGGCACAATATGAAATCAACGTTGACAAAAATAAAGCTTCCAAGAGAAAGCATCCCTCAGCCATGAAACTCCTTCTACATCTTCACATAGAGTACTGGTTCTTAACCTTGGGTTACTCAGGAGTTTTGGACTGCAACTCCCAGAAGCCTTCACCACCAACTGTGCTGGCTGGGGTTTCTGGGAGTTGCAGTTCAAAAACATCCGAGTAACAAAGGTTAAGAACCACTGACACAGAGTACTATTCCTACTAGTGGAACATGGAGGAAGATATTCCTAGCATATTGTAATGATTGGTCAGGTATACATTGGGATTTACATTAAAAACAGGATATATGGATATATAAAAATGGGAACTCTGACTCCCAGAAGATTCCTAAAGTGACAATTTTTGCACAGGGGGAGTCACAGTCCCCTACGAAGCCTCCCCAAAACCAAACTACAAGTGGTCACTTTTGAGGAGGCAGTTTCCCCCCATACACCATTTTGGACCATTTCCAGGATTCCTATAGCCTGTGGCAGTTGCTATAAGTGAAAATTTGGCCACTTGCCCTGTCAATGTTGCTCTTCCTATTTCAAAGAGCTCCCCATTCAGCTTTTCAGAGCGCTAAAAGATTACTTCAGGTGTGTGTCCCTGACTCTGACACACTAAAGCTTAGGTGACTATGGAAACATTTCTGTCCCAGAAATTTAACTAGCTGTAAACTTCATAAATTCAGAAGTATGAGTTTGCAAGCTGAGACACATTCTGTGCTTTCACTTCCAAGTTTCCTGGAAGCCTTAGGAAGACTACAGATGGGTATCAAAGACACGCCCTTTGCCAGCAGCTGATTGATGGGTGAGAAAATGTTTATGTTAGTTATAGTCCCTTTTAATTTTTTTATGTTCTACCCATAAACATAAGGCCGATCATTAAAAACTGGAAGGTACAGAAACGTATGCTGTGGGTTAGTCCCTTCCAAATTATTTGTTTTCTGGTTTACAGAAGTGAAGCATACATGACAGCTTGTATTATACTTCACAAAAATTGAATACTAGCTGATTCTCACTGATGGCACTGTGTCTGAGCAGGACCACACAGGCTGTGGGGGAAATTATTTTTAAAAGTCCCTTGACACACAAACTAGGGTTCTTGCTTAGATTTTCCTGACACTTGTTTTTTTAATATGGTAGTAACTTCTTTAAAAGTTTTGATATGGGACCCCCATATATAGTTTGAAATGGTTGCAGAACTCAACACACTATTTACAATATGTTAGTAAAGCAGGATTTTACAGAAATGTTTTTATTTGGCAAGAAACAAACAAGCAAATAAAAAAGCTTGCATTAGAATGATTTTGTATCACAGCATATCAAGCTAAAAACACCAGTGTTGCTTGAGTCCCCCTAAATTTACTAATCCACAGCTCCAAATTAATTCCATTTATTACAACCCATTCAAATAATGATGAGTTAACCAATCTCCGAATATAAGTACATTGTGGTGAATCTTCAAGCAATATGTCCATAAAAACCAGGAAATTACCACAAGTCAGTCATTTAAATTGCACTGCCAAGGCACTTTGTGAAATGCCACAGCACATTGCAGGAAATGGGGAATCCATGGCTCTTTTTCAGGCAAAAAAACAGAAACAAACAAACAAACAAAATAAATAGAGAGAGAAAAAGATGTTGGTATCTTAAAGTGTTATACTTTAATACGAGCTTCGCCCTCATCATTGCCTACACTGACCAGGAGCTAGGGCTGGTAACAGTACCAGTCCACACACACATTCCCCACCCAAAATCAGCATGTGGACCTTAAGTATCTAATTTTAAGGCCTCAATAATACTGCAACACTCAGATATCCTGTGAATACAAGTAGAATCAGTTATTTGTTTTAAGGTACACTTCAATGACATGAATTATCCCTTAAGAGCAACCTGAGAGCAAATAATATCTGGAGACATGTTAAAACACATTACATTTAAAATCCCTTAAAGAGCTGGAAAGTTGATATAGAAAGCAATTATTTAATTTGGGATTCACAATGAATTCTGTACTATTTCAGCTTATGCACTCTGCTCACTACTCTGCTTGGCAAAGGTTACTGTGGCTCTCTGATTTCACTTGCCAATCTATTCAACAGTGACAGGTTCATGTCCCAAATTACAGTTTTATTTTGGCCATGTTTTATTTATATTCAGTAAATGAAAACCGGTGAGTGCTCTGAGGCTGCAGCCATGAGACTGTCAGCATAATCACCAAATCAAAAGATCTGCTGCCAGAATATATATCAGGATCCTCACAGAAAACCAAAAGTATTGGATTTCAGAGGCTCTATTGCAGAACCTAGCAATAGAATCTGATACCAAATGAACAAGCCCCTTTCATGACTTTTCCTTCATTTAGAATAACCAAAAAAAAAGCATTCATAGGAATTAAAGCTAGTCATTTAACTGTCATGGTTTGCTACAACAGTGCTAGAGATAATTGATCTATGACAGATGCAAGCATGTTTCTTACTTGAATTACTACTTCTAAAAACTACAGGTTGTTGGTGTTTAACAATCATCAATAAAATACTTTACTTCTGAAACCATGGAGATAAAGGTAATAAACAGGTACCAATTTCTGCCCCACAAACAAGGAGTCTGATAGCACCATAAGGACTTGCACATGCATTATTGTACAACAATTGTGGACTATAGGAACAGTTTATGATACAGCTAAGTAGACCA